TCATCCAATTCGGATAATAAATGCGACCTGTACATTGTTCACAATTTAACGTGGACAGGCAGACGGACGGACATGCTTAAATCGACTTAAAAGGTGATTCTATGCATATTCTCAAAAGGAATCATGGGTCTATCTCGTTTCCTTTTGCCTGTTACAAACATATGCACAAAGACATAATACCCTGTACCACAGTGTGATGAAGGGTATAAAAATACATTTCAATATTCACCTTTGAGTCGAATCATAATAATCTACTCCCACTGTGCTTCCAACGATGAATCATTGGCTTGCCGCTGCACTACATTACCCGTCTCACTGAATATATCGTGAGCTCAGCTGGAGTTCATGAAATTCACACCTAAAAGGGCGAAAATTCCAATAATAACATATCCAATGGTCATACATACATATACATCGACAAGGTAAGCTGCATCAACCTTCGTACTTTAATGTACAGATATAATGCTCATATAGGTTCCACAGCACTACATATTTGCCACATTGCCAAATTTGTAAGGGTATATGTGTGTGTGATTTGGTATGTGTGATTAATAATTGTTATTAAAACACCGGGCGTCATAACATTGCAGTGTCATACACTGAGAAAAACATAGATTTATGTTGGAAATTCCATAAATTACAGTTCGGGGCTTGGATACAAATTAAGGAAGTAATATTGTTTTTATAACTGAATATTAAATTTTCAATATTAAAATGTCCATTCATAATCCTCTTTACTTTTCCTTTCAGTGTACCACACATGGTCCGCATTGAAGTACACGTGAATCGTGTACTTTTTGATACTTATCGATATCGATATAGGCCCATATGCGACGATGGTGTTGAAGGCCAGGTCAATTTATCCATTTATACCCTTCGAAGAGCCAGAGAGAGAAAAAAAATACAACAGCAACACCATCACCAATAAAAAAGTCACCTTATAAATATAAATCTGTTCGAAGAGGTAATTTAATACAGTAACTCAACTAACCACCGCTCCCCCCACCATTTCGAGAGTAATCAAACTTATGGCAGTGGCAGTTAAAAGATCGTGTACATAAGACCATAAGGATATTGTTTCACAACGACAACACGAATTTTATGGCACCTAAATATCCTCCGAATAATATTTTTTTATTTTATTATAGTTCGTAGTTCGCTGTAGGTTCCATCAGATTTATTTTTGCCAATTTTCCACGAATATTATTTTCAAAGTGACCATTTTAAGCATGAATTATTTTATGGGACAACAAAAAATCATGTCATGGTAAAGTTCATTAAAATGTGGTGTAACGAAAGTAATGGACGGGGACATGGAGCTGGAAATTAGGGCACTGAAATAAAATTGGAGGAAAATAGGAAGAAAAGTGAAATTATTTACTTAGTTCAGTGTTACATTTAAAAACATTTTTTTTTCAAATTTAATATACAGTAATGGTAGGAAAGCGACGCAGATGAGATGTAATTGGGGAACCTAAAATATGCCCAGTAAGGTTATGGAATTTGTGGATTTATATCAACTGGTATTAAAAATTCGTCAAAGTTTTCAACATTTAGTCTGTTCCCGTAATAATTTTTAATATTTTTGTCGTATTGTACTTAGCATTTATATCAAAATTATTTGGAAAATACACATGCGAATTTTGTAACACAAATGCCGAGTTCGTTAAGGGTGTCTGAAATAAAGAATCTGCCACCTCTACGTCGACAAATGCGAAGAAAAGTCCGATCATACTTCATTATTGACTTTGAGAGTGGTACCGATTTCCGATCATGCTTCCTTCCAGCGTTCTAGAGCGGTACCGATTTCTCGATCCGATTGCGATGTTGCAACACTTATTTTATGTTTTAGCCATTTTTTCCGCCTATGCTGGCCCGCTAAGTGCTTACACGACTAAGCTCATGACTGTCTTTTGCAAATACCGCTAAATCTATTGGAAAGTTTAGTCTTAAATCTGGCATTCGATCCGTCTCGTATACAGCGGGCAGCTGCAGGTGTGTAGGTCTCTGAAATTCTTATCTGATACCCAAACATCGGAAGGAATGGGCGGTTGCATGAATCGGGGTTTTGTCAAATCTCTGAACTCTTGTCAATTGGCTTTTCCATGGTTAAGAAATATGCAGGTCTCTGAAATTCCTATGTAGGTCTCTGAAATTCCTATCTGCTACCCAAACATCGGAAGGAATGGGCGGTTGCATGAATCGGGGTTTTGTCAAATCTCTGAACTCTTGTCAATTGGATTTTCCATGGTTAAAAAATATGCAGCAATAAGATTGTATGATATTGGAAGCTCTGCTGATGGATGCGATGCTAATTTATGTCATTCGACAGGCCCGGAGAAACGATATGTCCGGTTAGCTGTGGCAGTATCCCCTTTTTCTGGCCTGCGTCATTACTGAAGACGGAGTGCCATCAGTGCCATGCCCTAGCATTAAACTCCCAAAAAAGATGAATAAAGCGAGGCTTAACGGACCACCCACGGATCAAAAATAACTCAATACCGGTGGGAGTCGTTGATCTTCCTACGAGTCATATGCAGTCAATGGTGTGGCTACAAACACGTAGCAATCAAGCGGGGACTCAAATTCCATGTCTCAACACGAGAGTAACACCAACATAACTGTCTTAACCGGGTGAGCGAAGGGGCTGATAAGAGAAGCAAAAGCAAGTAGCAGACGGCGGATATAAAGAAAAGACAGAGATAACCCAAAGTCAAAGAAGACTGTCATGAGGAGCCATCGAAAAAGGCCAGCATTTAGTATCCATAAAACGAGTGCTGCACCGAAAGACCAGGAAAGTAGCCAGGAGACACTGTGGCCACGAGCTCTGCTATGCAGCTCTGCTAAAGAGAAAGATCAAGGCCATTCATTTTTTCTTTTAAATAATTCACATAATTCGATCGCTGAATGGGATGATCTGCCCGAACATATGGATCAAAAGGAATATGAAAGAGTGGCCAGTATTTTCACCTTACACGATACAATATAACTTAGATTTGGAGAAGATCTAGGTGAACGATTAAATCAGACGAATCTAGGTGAAAGAGAGAAAAAATTAACGATTGGGTCAAAAGGAACAAGATGAACCAATGAATCTGATCTAGTTCCGATCGTTCCGTTGGCGAAATGGTTCTTTTGAACTAGTTCGTTTCTGAACTACCCAACTGGGAAAAGAGTAATCTTAAACTACAAAAGTCAACTGTCTTGGTAAGATGTTGGGTGCAGTGATTTCACAATAGAACGAAAACTCGAAGTATTAGTTCTGCAGAAAAATACACTTAGTAAATTCTAGTTCAATCGTTCATTGCTACACCACATATAATTATAACAATGAATGAGAAGTTCTAAATGAACGATTGGATCGAAAGGAACTAGGTGAACGAGAGAAAAAAATAACGACTGGGTCTGAGGGAACTAGATGAACGAAAGAACCTGACCAAGTAGCGATCGCATCTTTTGCGGAATAATTATTTTGAACTAGTTTATTTATGAACGATCCACCTCTAATAATTCTGCAGAACATACACTGGTAGTGAAGAAGTTCGCAACAGGCAGGAGAGCGAAGAACGGACTTTCCTTATATGTCTTGGACAACTATTCAATTGCAAGTCTTGCCAATGCCACAAAGCCACAAGAAACTACGAAGATGAAATACACAGCAAGAAAAGTAATGGAGGTAGGGACAATCTCCTTCCTGAAGTTGTTCGCTCCGCAAAAAGAATTACGTTTTTGTAGATTAACGAACGTGAAAATCTAAATGAACGATTGGATTGAAAGGAACTAGGTGAGCGAGAGAAAGGAAAATAGATGAACGAAAGAACCTGACCTAGAACCGCTTGTTCCTTTAGCGGAATAATTCTTTTGAATCAGTTCATTTATGAACGACCAACCTCTAATAGGGATACTACAAAGGCCAGATGTCTTCATCAGATATTGGGGCATCGAGTTTACAACAGAACGCACGCTCGAAGTCTTCGGTCTAAAGAACAAAACAGTGTGGGATCTTCTATGGGGAGGAGAATGTAGATGAGGCTTTTCCTGTGGTAGGCTCGAACAAATTTTCAATGGGAAGATCAAGGGTATTACGTGTCCAACGATGTCCTTTTCAGCAAGAATCGGAATGGAGGAAGCCACATAAAATCTGCAAGGGATAAAAGATCAAAAAGAAAATCAGTCAAGGAGAGAGATGGCGGAATCTTAAGAATACTATTTATGGGGGCGGAATTGATTTTCCATCAGAGCCATTGTTGCCATCTCACTCTGAAGGAGACTTATTTCGATGAGATCAATCAATTCCGCTCCAATAAGTAGTATTCTTAGGAGTCCGCCATCTTCCTCCTAACAATAAATTTATTGACAGAGGCCATCCAACTAAACCTCCATCGAAGGGACATAAGAGGTTAATCGAAGAACCGTAGACTTTTTTTAAAAAAATGTATCTGGATTAAACGGCAAAAATTAATCTAAACCCGGATTTTTGGCTTAGAGCTTATATAATATGTCAAAAAACCATACGCTTGCTCATCTGCCCAGTGAAGCTAACATCGGAACATTAACAACTTTACTGAACATTAACATCACTAGGATAATTGTCCTGGCATCAGGTTATCTGCAGTGTGATTTGTCATTTGTGAGGAAAGCAAAGGAAACATATAAAGAAGTATAAATTGTAAGTGATGCTAATTCATCCCATGGCAGGACCTTCTGGATTATATAAATACTAGAGACCTGGTGATCCTACGAGTAATGGATGGAATTTAAGAAGGGAGAGTCTCACAAGAGTACTCCTACTCGCCTTTGAACATTAATGCTCCTAAAATCATTACTCCAATTTAAGAAATCACTTCGATTAATTTTGGTGTGACGATATTTTGTTTGTGGGTCACCATATTTTTGCAAAAAAAAAAAATTAAATTTGGTAATTTAATATTTTTATAAATTTTTTATTTAAAAACAAATTAACAAAACGATACACAGCATTTCATTGCGATAGCAGTGATTTAAAAACGGTGTCTGTAGACAACACGACGGGCAGTCTTGTAGCGATAACCATCAACAGGGGTTTGTTCGATTTCTTCAATTGGGTTAACTTGGGGTGCAACTTGTACTGGTGGGATATAGGTGTTGACTGGTTCTTGGACGGGAGCAACGGGTGCTGGTGGGACATAGGTGGTGACGGGAGCAACTGGAGCTGGGGCAGGTGCTGGTGGGATATAGGTGTTAACGGGGGCAACTGGAGCTGGGGCAGGGGCAACAGGTGCGGGTGGCACATAAGTGGTAACTGGGGCTGGGGCAGGGGCAACAGGTGCGGGTGGAACATAAGTGGTAACAGGGGCAACTGGAACTTGTTGAGGAGCTACTGGAGGAATGTATGATCTTTCTGGTTGAACTTGAGTAACGACTTGTTGTTGTTGTACATGATGTTCATGGTGGACATGGTGTTGTGGTTGTTGTACATGATGGACATGGTGTTGTTGTTCGTGATGGACATGTTGTTCATGGTGAACATGTTGATGATGGTGTTCAACGGGATGATTATAGCTGTAGCCCAATTCCGACACATCAGCATAGGCGCAAGCCACAAAAGCCAAGGCAACAATGAAGAATTTCTGGAAATTTAGAAAAAAACGAGAATAGTTATTATTAGTTAGTTAATAGGCTTAATTTAAATTTATCGTGTTCCAATTATTCTGCGGTTATCCTTAATTGGGGGAATTAAAAGTCCTTTTCTTTTTTTGCTATTGTTATTGTATTTACCATTTTGTTTGGTTGATTTTTTTGTATATTCGTTGAAAACGTCAAATACAAGACTGTGCCTTAACCGAATCACTCGCTTAGTATTTATAGTCAAATACGCTCCGTACGCTCGTTTTGACCCTAAAACTGATTTGGTTTTATTTCTATGTTAAAATTGTTGTTTTACAATTTGGCTACAAACTTTGAGACGCTTCATTAATTTTTCGAAAATTGTTTGTATTGTTGTATTTTCTGCGAAGAATAATACGTCAAGACAACATGAATTTTACAGCGGCATTCCCACCAAAAAATGGAGTCGAAAAACAAGATGTACTATTGACCACAAAATTTTTAATTAATCTTGTTTGATTAATGTTATCGTTGTTGGTTTTCCAACCAGGTTCGAAGGGTCAACTAGTTTTTATATTTGTCTACATTTGAATATGCTTAATTAATTTTTATTTAGTTTTACAGATTTATTTCCGGTTTCAATGTGAATTTTGTTGACAAATGTTCGGAGGCAAAAATTACTACATCTTGGAATACTAGTTGTTGAATATTTAATATTCTTCAATCGGAATAAATTAGTTACAGGTTTATCATTGCTACTATGCTACATAATATGCAAAAGGGTGATATGTATTATCTAAAGTAAAAGTGGTGCGTAATGATTCACGTGACCATTTGATTTACATATATTGTGAGAAAAAATTGAAGTAGTCGAAATTGTATATTGGAAATCAATAAATAATTGAAAGCAATAAGAGCAAAGTATAATGTATACGTCAGTGCGAGCGTTACCCACTTGTCCATCCTCTTAACCTTACCAATTTCAGAAGGGTGTCTCAATATCGTTGTATGGTCAGCTTTGATCCTGATAGCAAGTTCCCTCGTGGATACGGCTGGATCCGCTTCCACTAGAGCCTTCAGGTCATCATTCGTCACAGACGTTTTGGGACTTCGACGCGGCTCATTTTGCAGTGAAAAATCGCCATTCAGAAATTTTTCGAACCAAAGCTGCACTTTCTGATCGTTAACCGTATTCTTTCCAAGCGCTTGGTTTATGTTGCGTGCAGCTTTTGCAGCACTATTACCAAGTTTGTACTCATATCAGGAAATAACGCGAATGTCGGCAGAAGTCATATCGACAATAAACTAAAGTGAAGACCTTCTAGAAAACCTATATTTCAGCAAAATAGATTTTCTCGAAGGTCTTCTGGCAAATGGATAATACGACTATGAAAAAGGTTATGCCAAAGACTAAAGTATAAAGTAAACAGGGTGACAACTGTAAGCATGTAAAGAGAACCCGATATTTCATACGCACCAACCTAATATTTTTCGATTTGTGCGAAATTTGGCAAAGCGTACTGAAGTGAGTCTAGAATGATATCTGCTAAGTTTCGTAAAAATCGTGTGCTAAATTTGGTTGTTTGCTCTAAATCGATTTATATAAATTTGTCCCATTGTACGCAAACATCTCTAAAATTTTTTCAGAAAGATCGCATATTTGTTAAATTGCATGTCAATGTTCTTTCGGAAAAGAGGAGTCTGTTAGGAGACATATGTAGAATATACCGAAAGTGGTGAAGGATATCATATAGTCGACACAGTCCGACTTTACTACTTTCCTTGCTGGCTTTCTTTTATGCATGTTCATCCATCCGCCCATATGTACATGTATTCTTGTGAAAAATGTACAGGTCGCATTTATGATAAATTTAACACACCCTCCACCTTATGGCGAATGGCATAATGATGTCTGCACTTGTTTCTAAGTCGGTTTGTCGGCATAGGTATGTGTATGGTCCAATATATAGCATATTTTTCTCAAACTCCAATCAAAACCAAATCATATGTTTTAATACTTTTATTACAAATTATAATATTAACGAATCAACTAAATAACATCTTTCCAAATCTGATATTTAGGCACGGTGTCTGTAGACAACACGGCGAACAGTTTTGTAACGATAACCATCAACGGGAGTTTGTTCAATTTCTTCAACAGGGGCAACGGGTGCAGGGGGAATGTAAGTATTTGTTGCTGGTTCAGGGGCAACAGGTGCTGGTGGAATATAAGTGTTAACAGGGGCAACTGGAGCTGGTTCAGGTACTACTGGTGCTGGAGGAATATAAGTCTTTTCAGGTTGCACTGGAGCGGGAGCAGGTTGTTGATAGTTGTAACCCAACTCAGAAACATCAGCATAGGCACAAGCCACAAAAGCCAAGGCGACAATAAGGAATTTCTGTTGAGGAAATATGAAATTTTATTTTTATTTTATTAATTCTTAAACGGTCTCTATAAATCTAGCCTTACCATTTTGCAAAGGTGATTTGTTTGTTTGAACGTCAAATGTTAGACTGTGTCGTATCGTAATAATCACAGAGTTTTTATACGCCAATGTATAAAATAGTATTGTATGTGTTCTTTATTGTGTTATTCCGATTCCATTTGAATTTCGTATTCGCCTTCCGTTTCTTAATGATCTTCTTTCGCTTTGAGTGATAAATATGTAGTCAGTCCCACAATACAATTAATTGATCAGTTTGTTTGAGCAGCATTTCATCATAATTTCTGTTGCTCTCCACAATCATTAGCACCTATTTAAATGACCTATCCCAATGCTTTGAATATTTACACAAATGCCTAGAACGTTTAATGATTGTATGTTAATTAATTATATTTATTATATACTCAGGTATGATTATTACTATACACTCCTCCATAGGTATGGAGAGAATATTAAATTTGTTATTCCCTTCCCAATACCTCGGAACCTATAAAGAAGAAAGGATATTCTTCATAAAAATAAATTTTTTTAATTGCTGACATTCATCTATGCAGACTAGTAGCAATAAAAGTCCATGTTTTGACATAGCATCCATTCGGTAGCAGCATTTTTCAACAGAAAAAGGCTTTAATATGGCTTGCGGGTTTTTGGATGCTGGCATACACTTGCGAAGGAAATAATCATTACAGATCCATACGTTGACACAGGACCCATACAAACGTCTCTCCCATTTAAGGTTATAGTCGCATTTTCGTACCGAATTGGCTGTACTTAGTCATTCCCTTACCTTTTTATACCCTTCACCACACTGTGGTACAGGGTATTATGTCTTTATGCATATGTTTGTAACAGGCGAAAGGAAACGAGATAGACACATGGTTCCTTTTGAGAATATGCATAGAATCACTTTCAAAGTCGATTTATGCATGTCCGTCCGTCTGTCTGTGCATGTTAAATTGCAAACAAAGTACAGGTCGCATTTATGATCCGAATTAGATGAAATTTGGCGTAGGTCACTTATTCGGCCCAAGGATGAACCCTATTGAAATTGGGAAAAATCGGTTCAGATTTAGATATAGCTCCCATATATATATTTAATCGATTTAATGTATACGGTCCCTATATATCTTTCGATTTGCACGAAATTTGGTACAGCCTAATCATTTAGGTCTAGAATGATGTCTGCCAAGTTTCGTGAAAATCGGTCCAGATTTAGATATAGCTCCCATATAGAGTTTTGTCCGATTTCATGTAAATGGTGCACCAAAGTCGCTATATATCGTTCGATTTGCACGAAATTTGGTACAGCCTAATCATTTAGGTCTAGAATGATGTCTGCCAAGTTTTGTAAAAATCGGTCCAGATTTAGATATAGCTCCCATATATTGTTTCGTCCGATTTCATGTAAATGGTGCACCAAAATCGCTATATATCTTTCGATTTGCACGAAATTTGGTACAGCCTAATCATTTAGGTCTAGAATGATGTCTGCCAAGTTTCGTGAAAATCGGTCCAGATTTAGATATAGATCCCATATATACTTTCGTCAGATTTCATGTAAATGGTGCCCCAAAGTCCCTATATATCCTTCGATTTGTACGAAATTTGGCATAACGTACTGAATTGAGCCTAGAATGGTGTCAGCCAAGTTTCGTGAAAATCGGTCCAGATTTAGATACACTTCTCTTTTATTATAGATTGATTTTAAGTAATTGACGTACTAAGGAACCAATAGGAACAAAACGTTCTGAAATTAGTATAACCTAACCTGTGACAAATTTGTGTTAAATCGCTTAATATTTGGATAGAGCTTCCATATATATTTTCCCCCGATTTCAAGTAAATTGGGCATCAGATTGACATCAAATTTTGTTCAACGTACAAAATTGAGCGTAGAATTACGTATTTGCGTTTTCTAGAAGTACAGACATAACCCACGGATGACCTATTTATATTTGTTTGAAGTCGATTGACATACTTTATGGATAGATCAAGGTAGATTCACATTTAGATAAATATCACATATTTTTTTTTTCGTCCAAATTTATGTTAATAGCCCTGTTTAATACAGCCATAGTGGTGAAGGGCAGCATATAGTCGACCCCGTCCGACTTTACTACCTTCCTTACTGGTTTTTCATTTATTTCTATCAATCTTCTAAAAATATTATATTAACATGAAAATGGATCCATA